AAATACTCTAAATTAACCCAAGCTTCCCTGACAAAAGAAAAGGTAAATAAATGACAATCATCTTGCCTCCTACCTCCTATGAAAATCAAAACAGGAGAAAAAGGGTTACAACAAAAAAGGCTTCTCCCTCCTCCTCCTACTGCTCTATGATAATTCTATTTACAATATTTACAAAGTCACAGACAGCAATGGCGTGCTGGCGTTTCCTTGTGGTAGCAAGGCTGGAGAGATCAGGAGGCTGAGTGCAGTTGGCGGGCTGTTCAAATAGATGAAGGACCCGCCTCCTGACCAACCGCATGGCAGGAATCAGACAAGGCAGCAGGCGAGGCAGCCAATCAGTGGTCACCACCTGCTCCTAATTCACTCATTCACAAATCGCACACACACACACACACACACACACATTGAGGAGAGAGAGCAATGCAGCAAAACAAGCAAAATTCTCTGAATGACCCACAGGGTCATAACAACTTTTTGTGTCATGAGGACACAGATGATGCTGGCAGAACAAAAAAGAAATGTAAAAGTACAATTGAAATACAGTATAACAATAAAACCAATGAATTAATTTATAATATTACTTCTTTTCCTACATACATGGATAAGTTGTTCTACTGCAGACAATCAAATTGCTTCATTTGGAACCAGATTTACATGAAGCAGCAACCTGGAGTCAACCGTTTATCAGCCTGGTCGATTATTGGATCGGATATTTAGCATTTTTCCAGTTATTAGTATTAGCATTCTTTGTTGTTGTTTTTTTTTTATAAGAGATTCCCGACAAGGCAAATTATTTTCAAAATGTTGTGCTTCGGCTCTGATGCGACCGACTCTCTTTCTGTAAAGTAACGTACCATCCACAGCACTATTTGACTTGTTAAATGTCACAAGTATCAATGGTGAAGAATAAATGTTGAGAAGTTCTAAAATCTAGAAACGGTTCTTCAACAAAAGGTTTTGCAATGGTTTTTGTAAAGTTTATTTGAAATTGTGACACCAACGTTTTCATTTTTACTTCAAGTATGTATTGGTTATCGGTCTTTTCAAACCGATGTACAAACTCCCTCCGAACCCATGTGTCCTTGTGGAAGCAGGTATCAGCCGTGCACAGTTCGAACTGAACATCTGCATGGCGACTGCTCCTCACTCTGGTGAATCCGCTCTTGATGCCAGGCCATTAGCTGCTGCTCCTCGTTCCAGATCTCCTCTGAATGTCGTCTTTTTCAGCTCGGAGTTGGCTCGTGTACACAGACTGCTTTCTGTACGGCAGCCGCAGACAAACGGCCGTCCGCGAGCCTTTCATGGCGCTCCAATAAAAAATGTTTCCGCAGAGAGAAACGGGAGCACACTGGACGCAATCGTGTTGAAACATCACACTGTTTGCACAATAAAAGGCTGTGAATTAAGCAGTGTGCTGCAGTCGGCTTCTTGGAAATGTACTGTCCTCGAGCTGAGAAGCGCCTGTTTCAGCTGCAGAAGAACACTGTTTCCTCTAAAGAAATATATATATTACCAAACACTTTTGTCTAATATCAAAGAAACCTCCTGTGGGTAGCAGCGCAAACACAAATCACAAGTAAATCCCACAAAACATGACCTTGTTACATCTAATATGTGCAGACATGGAGTACGGATGAAACACTGTTTTTTTCAAAGACAACAACAACAACAACAGAACTTTCGCTCGACCGTAAATGAAACAGATCAATGTTTAGTGAGTGTAGATAATCCTTCAATTAGATTTCAAGTCTTGTAGTGCAACTCGGAACTTACATCTGAGTATTTCTTGTTGAACAAAATCCCTTCGATACGATCCATGCAGATTGAAGATCATTTTAAAAGAAATAAAATACTCAAAAATGCAAACAGCCCCTATAAAACAATGTCGGCTCACTATTAGAAATGCTAAAAAATACCATATTTGCTGTTTGTGTGACTAAATATTAGATGCATTAGATGTACAGTGAGTCACTTTTTTAGTTATCAAGACATTTCTGCGGTACAGTCAAACTAATAGAGCCGAGAGCCACAGGGGACAGAAACTCTGCATCTCTGCCCACGTGAGTGTTATTGAACAGCCACTGTTCTCTGGTGTGGCGTTCTAATAATTCAGAGCAGGGAGCCCGAACGTAGGCGTGGTGTTGCAGAGTAAAGACAGCAAACACTGAGCAAATATTAACTCTAGATCATCACTAATACACTCTGGATCGCGCCAGATAGTAACTGAAGAGGTGTCATTGTGGCCTAATGATATGCAAACCACAGTCACGTATTGATTTCCAGTCATCTGTCCAGAGAAAAGACACTATAAATTGAATTGAAAAATGGTTTAGATTAAAAAAGGCGTCTTTCTTTAGTGTCTTTGTGTAAACCACTTTGTAACATCTGTTTTGAAAGGTGTCATACAAAGAAACTCGTTTTTATTCAACGCAGCAGCCTCCTGCTATTGTGCCATCAAAGATGATAAAGTATACACAATGGGGATTTTCAACAAGAGCTAGTGGGTCAATAAAAGCTCCTCATGAGTTTTCAGTAATCAGAGCTTTAGATTTTACCCTCCAAACCACAAAACCTGCTGGAGGGTTTAAAGATGGATGTTTTATCCAACGAAAATCACCCAAATTACACCATTTATCAGAGCCGCAAGCAGTAAAACCACAAAGAATTGTCAAGAAACGTCATGTTGGATGTAACGTGTGTGATGCTCTGTTATAAACAGTCTCGTTGATTTATTAAAATCACAATATTTTACATGTCTCAGTTAAGAAATTAGAAAAGAAATGATCAAAGAAATTCAACTTTAGTTTTGTTTTTTTCTTTTTAATGATTAATGGGGGGCTGCAAGGTGGTTCGGTGGTTAGCACCGTTGCCTCGCAGCAAGAAGGTCGCCGGTTCGCATCCTGGTGAGGACACCCGGGATCTTTCTGTGTGGAGTTTGCATGTTCTCCCCGTGCAGCGTGGGTTCTCTCCGGGTTCTCCAGCTTCCTCCCACAGTCCAAAAACATGTTGAGGTTAATTGGTGATTCTAAATTGTCCGTAGGTGTGAATGTGAGTGTGCTTGGTTGTCTGTCTCTAAGTGTAGCCCTGTGATAGACTGGTAACCTGTCCAGGGTGTCCCCTGCCTTCACCCTAAGTCAGCTGGAATAGGCTCCAGCCCCCCATGACCCTAATGAGGATTAAGGTGTACAGATAATGGATGGATGGATGATTAATGGCAGTACAACTTTCTTGTTGTGTTGGTTCTATAGAAGGTGCAGGACTTTATTTTGCAGTAATAAACAGGAGCAAATAATCAGAAATTAGTTGGGATTCGGAGGGTTTACTTCCTGAAACCATTCGTAAAATCATGTTTCCTTTTTTTACTCCACAGCTGTATTGTAGTATATTTGTTTTTTTCTCTCTTGAGCTTGGCAGCAATCTGTAAGTGCTGAGAGTTACACAACCACACTGACACTGTTGTGATGTCTTTATGCTGAATATGAACCTACAGCTGGCAGGTGTTACTTCAGTTTGGCACAAAAATCTGAAACAAGGTGACACAGCGAGCCCAGCTTTCATTCATCAGTAGGTTAGAAAAAAATCTTCCTGTTACACTCAGTATCGTGATTGATCTTGTTTACTTAATCCGTCCACCGATTTGTCTTCCGCGGTGACCTTTGTTACCTTCAGACTGATCCAGACCAGCTGTGTCTCCTTGTTTCTGGGTGTGGTTTCATTTTTAAGAGTGGTACTAATGTTGCTCTTGGGAAAAAAGCCAATAAGTCTATTTCCCTCCTCCAAGAACTGTAGCTGTAATCGTTTTGCGTTTTAAAATGGTTTCATTCCAGCGACTGTAACTTAACGTCAGATCCTCTAAACCTGTGAATCAATCACTGTCACACCCTGTTAGCGCCAGATGCTCTCCTAATCAAGCTCCCACTGACCCACTTGTGCCAGACTGTGTGGTCGAACAAGATATACGATGCGTTCTGTGACACCGCATGCATGGAAACACTGACAGCGGCCCGTCACCGCCTCTGATTTGCTCTCCTTGGCAGGCTCCTCTTCAACTCCCCTTTTTTTTTTTTTTTTTTTCCCCCTGAGCACGCAAAAGCCTGCTTGGCCTCGGCATCTTAATCAATACCCACGTAAATAGCTCCATCACTGAATCTCTCTCCGATTGATCGTCTCTTTCGCCGGCAAATAGCCTCTCAACTTTGTTCCACATGAACCCCCTTCCCCTCTCATCGCGAGCTCAAACACGACTGCTTTTAAACGAGTAAAACTGTACGCAGTTGTGACCCAGACGGCCAGAATCATTTGAATCTTCTGACATTTGTCTTCGCCGCTGAGGGTCCGTCGCAGTAAATAGGAGTCATTCTGTTTGTCGGCTCCACATCTCCGTTCATTTCCTCCTCGAGTTTGTCATCCTCGTGGCACCGGGAGAGAGGACGGACCTTGTTTATTGCCAATGTCTTTCTTAAATATGGATGGAAATTAGTTTGGTGCCTCTCCTCTTGAAGGATCACCCTCCACTTTCATTTCATTGTCATATTGGATTTTTTTTCTTGATAGGATGAATGGCACTTCAACTCCATATCTTCTCAGTGTAAAACCCCTCTTCACTGTCATTTATTATTCGATCCCCCTTATGCTTCCTTTATGCCAGAGTAGCTGAGTAAGCTCCCTATGCGAGCTGTAAATATCATCTCCATTCATTCCCCTCTCTCGAATCCATTTGGTAGCCTTTCTGCAGGTCTTTTCTTTCATCCGCCTTTTCAACAGGGATCTTCAAGAGCACATGCAGCATCGACGTGCGCTGGTTCCCCTTCGACGTCCAGAAATGCGAGCTGAAGTTTGGCTCCTGGACGTACGGAGGCTACGCTCTGGACCTGAAGATGGTGGAGGCAGACATCACCGACTACATCGCCAACGGAGAGTGGGATCTCGTCGGTAAGCTGGAGGTTGCACATGATCCTCAGCTTTTCACTGGGATTCTGCCCGAGTTGATTGTGTTTTTCTCACGTCCCGCAGAGGTTCCGGGGCGAAAGAACGAGCACATCTACGAATGCTGTGAGGAGCCGTACCCGGACGTCACCTTCACCGTGGTGATGCGCAGACGGACTCTTTACTACGGACTCAACCTGCTCATCCCCTGCATCCTGATCTCCACTCTGGCGCTGCTCGTCTTCCTGCTGCCTGCCGACTCCGGGGAGAAGATCTCACTGGGTTAGAGGAACTAGAACACACACATAAACATCCTTTAAGGGGATAACAGGGGAGGATCCAGACTGGCAGGTTCCCATACCAAAGAAACTCAAATCAAAACAAACTTGGCAGGCAACAGAAAGATGCATTACATCCTGTATGACAACCCGGTCGCAAGTTGGCTTGACTACATTCAAACCTGTACACTCACTCTTCAAGTAAATCCTCAAAGTATTGGATAGAAAAGATAATCATTACTGCAGTATTCGAGAAAAATAAAAAATAAAAAAATCTCAGTTTAGACAAGTTGAGGTAAGTGCAGGTAGGACCAGAGTTCAGAAAGACAGCTTTTGGTAAATCTGCATTCTCAGTTAAAGCAGTGAAAAAGTGGAATTCCGTCACTACAAACATTAGTTTCAGGAAGCTTTGCAGTGTTTAAACAAGCCTGATTTACTGATTTTATTTATTTTATCACACAGATGGACTTTTTAAGGTTTTGTATTGTTTTATGAATTGTGCCTGCCCAGGGACTGCTAGCTAACTCTGCTACTTACTTTTTTACTGTCCCTACAACAATACACAAAACTATTCAAGAAAATTCCAAACTTAAACATCAATGCGCCTATAAAAAAGGTAATTCATCCAATCACAAGTCCAGCAAGAGAACCTAAAATCCAGAATGCAAAACATAAACCTGGAAAAGCAAATGAGACATACAGAAGGGCTTAGACTGGAAACCGGCGGGAGACCAAACAGGAGATGGGTGAACAGAGGGCCGTACTATGACACGAGTTTGACTTATTCACGCTTTAGTTGTGGAAGTCAGCTTGATAAAAGCTAAGTCAGAGATCAGCGATATCATCGTTTGTTAACTCAGACTGCATTCACATGAGAGGAGCTGTGTAACGCGTCATGTGACTTATCTTCTGCACAAAATGAAACTATCGAGCATCACCGACTTTAGTCAACAGGTTGCTTTAATGGAGAGCAACAAGGACTAAAACATTAGAAGCACTGCTACTGCAAATGATGCAATACAGGAATGCTGGTAGAAAACAGACAGTCTTGTGTTAATATATTTATTTTACTGATCTTATTTCGAACTGACAGCTCCACATTAGAGCTGTTAAATTTTAAACTTCATATATTTAAACAGGATATTGTATTGAAGTGCATTTAGGTCTGACACTGTCCCATAATGCAGGACATCACGTGAGATTAATGTTATTAACTGAATATTCTCTGTAATGAATACTAGGGATGCACAATATATTGGTGACCATGTCGGTATCGGCCAATGTTTGTGTTTTTTTCCGATATATCAGCATCGGTCCGATGAACAAATTTAGCCGATGTGAAAAACCGATGATTGTCTAACATTAGTGCCTTTGTCTCTACATTTGATATTGCTGCTATTTTACAAATGTTTTTACTGAAGTGGTTCTGGACTTGAACGTTAAATATGTTTAAATATGTTTTACTTTTGTTATGTAGTAAAGAAGACTATGTGGTCTCATTTGGGCTTCTTTTGAATAGTTTTCACGTTCTCACAGTGCTTACTTATACTCATTTTTCAGTGTAAACAAAAACTGAATATCGACATTGATAATATCGGTTATCAGCGATATCAGAAATCTTAATATCGGATGTTGGTATCGGCCTGAGAATTTAATATCGTGCATCGCTAATAGATAAAAATAAAACAATCAATTTTCTGATCTGTGTTCGATCAGTTGCAGTAACCGTAGTGTAAACGGACCAAACATGAAAACATGTTTATGCGACTTGCATAACCAGCTGAATACTTGTCAGGTTTCCATGGCAACGCGATGCATACAGTGTGCAATACTGTAACTGCATGGCTTCATTCAGATGTTTTATTAAAGTACAGCTCAACAGGTTTGCAGATAAAACCCAGTCCCTCAGCTGATAATCTGTATCACTTATAGAGAATTGTCAGGAAATGATTTAGTTAAAGGGAGACGCTCTTTCTAGCCGATTTAAATCCAAAACTCTAAACATAACCTGATCCCGACCAGGTTAGCTCCACAGCATCAGTTACCATGGAGATCTAGCAGGTTCACAACACTGAAAACTCTGACTTTAGGCTGAACATACCTTGTTAACCCGCTAATCTCGTTTCGTAGTGCAGCCCTCTTGTAGGTTAATCCAGCAGGGTGGTGAAGGAGGACAAAACAGGAAGATGAAAATTCAGGACTATAAACATACAGGGAACACAAGACGCAGGTGAAACAGGTTATGGCAACTAAAAGGGGAAGAAACAGACAGAGGCAGGAAGTAAATACAACAAGAGACACACATATCAAAGCTGTAAAAAGCAGTTCACGCTCTATGCTGCAGTCACATTGAGTTTCCAGGCTGTACAATGCTTTGCTCTTTTCCTTTTTGGGAATAACGTTGAAATACCGAACACGTCAGAAGCTGCAGATCAGGGTTTTCAGCATTATTCCCTAATGCTGTTGAAAATTTAAATATTAATTGGCTCTCATTAATTATTGTTGAGTGGCCAGGAAACCAGCAGCCCTCACACTGTAAATGCAATCCGACGCAACTACAAACACTGCTTTTATGACTGCGGTAATCTTTCACTTTAGTTGCATCATAATTTAATGTTGTTGTCATAGTTTAGTAAATATTTGAAGTAGCTCTCAGCGTTAGAAAGCACTTGGAGAAGACACAGCTCGTGGCACGTACGTGGCTGTGCTAGTTTAGTGATGTGATTTTGGATATGGATCGGAATTAAAATACATACAGTAATAGTAATAATAACTTTATTTCTATAGCAGAGAGTTACAAGGTGCTTTGCATACAAAGAGCAGCAATAAAACATTCAAAAAAGACGATAAAACATTAGGAAAGACATAAAACTATCTACAAATTCCTGTCTGTACAAGGTTTTGACAGGTTTTTACACTGAGGCTGAGCTGTTCTGACAGAAAAAAGCAGCTTATTCTACAGTATTTGAGCTGAAACAGTCAAAACCGTGTTCTCCTTTTTGTTTTAAGCAAAAAGAAACTTTAATAGCAACTGATTCTTTGATCTGAGGAGTACAAGTGCAGACTAAGAAAAAAAAAGTGAGATGTAGAGCAGAGTCAGGCCATGTAGAGACTTAAAAGTAATCAGAACAGAAATCTATAAACGAGTCGGTGTAATTCAGGCAGGACTGGACTAATGTCCTGCTGGTGTGTTTAGAAACCGACTGCTGACTCGTTCAGGGAGGTGAATAACGAGATGCAGCGGTCCAAGCTGGAGAAAACAAATGTGTTGGACATCAGTGAATACAGGTGCCACAGTTTTTAATTCAGCTTAGTGCAGTAGTTAGAAGAAATGAGCCTAACGGTAACAGATTCTTAGAGCTGCCTTAAAAATGGTTGCTTCAGATTTCAAGTGAGGTATCGAGCAAAGTGACTGTGACCAGAGGACATAGCTTTCATACTGAAGGTAATAAAAAACTTGGGCAAAGTGATGCTACATGATGAGAACAGTGGAGGGGGTTGGTGCCAAAGTGGGCCAAACCACATTTAGAGAAAAATGGGATCAAGATTTTGTGTTTTGTAAAGTAAATGATGGTTGTTGGAGTCATTATATGCATCCAAAGATGTTTCAACACTGTCCAGGGATAGAAACAGCTACTCTGTGATGACATATTTAAGTTTTAATTTTGCCTTTCCTTTTGCTGAGTGCCAAAGTGGGCCAAACCACATTTTGTACTTTTTGAGAAAAGAACTGATTCAAGATTTGTCTTGCTAAACAGCATTGAAGAGTTTGCATCATAAGGAACTAGAGACACTGTTGAGGACCATGGAGTAGAAATAGATGCTTAGTGGTGCTTAATTAAGTATTTTATTTTACTTTACTGTACCTACAAGTTGAGTTTTCACGGGGCTTGAGGTCGCGCTGTCCGCCATTTTGAATCGCAAACACGTGCAACTACCTGCGCCTGCGATATAATGGTCAGCAACTCCTGTGGCTTGGCCCAGTTTGCCAGTAAATTTTCAAGCCACAACTATTATGGGCCAAACTTCAAAGTCGCATTATGACATTACTAGTGGGCTGTTGGTTGGACCACTTTGCCATGAACTAGCAACCATAAACACTGTTTAAAAAAAACATAAAACTCAACTTTGGCTCGGTTTGGCACTGAACCCCTCAGTAAACATTATATCTGATCAACAACAGCATGTTAGCAAGCTGACATGAGCATTTATCTCAAAGTACAGTCTCAGTAGCATTGATACTCTTTCATGAGAAAGTATGTTGTTTAGTCCCCTTCTCATGGATCGGTTATCTCAGAAACGGCCGCAAGCAGTTCCATCAAATTTGGCTTGGACTCTTAACTGCTTAGATTTTGGTGGTCAAAGGTCCTCAAATCCAGCTCATTCTAGTTAACACAGTCCTGTATATAAAGACATGCCAACCTCATCACATGCCCACCTGAATCCTCCAATGAAAACACCTGTAAAATCCATAGAAAATCTGGTGAATCTCTAAATGGCAGCAAAATAGATTAGATATTGACAGTTTATCTGTTTAAAGATAAAAAAAAATTTAAAAAAAGTGATGGTCGACTGTATCATCATTGTGGACAACATGTTATGTTACGATGACGCAGGTTGCAGCATCCAGTGTGTGTAATGCCAACAAGCATTTTAAATCTGAACTGTACCAGAGGAATGTGTATCAGAGGCAGAATCAGCCACAGATGATCGACAGAATTTCAATCTGCCGAAGGCTGTAGTCGACCGACTCAATGACCTTTGACCACACATGGACACACTGGCCACTTTATTAGGTACGCCTGCTGCAATCTGATATGACAGCTCTGCCATTCATTCTGCTTTTATGAAGCACCTACGTTTCCTACCTTTCGTTAGCGTTGCCATAAAGGTGATGATTCTACTGTGTATGTTATTATTGAGATCATAGTGGGAAGTGGGTATGCATTGAACTGCATTATACTTTAAAGTGTTCTTAATATTTTGTCCACCACATTGACATAA